CCGGGATCATGAAGGTACCGGCGCCGTACTGCTCAATCATAATGACTTTTTGGTGGGGCCGCATCACGTGCCTGCAGCACACACACCACACCAGGGGACCATCGGTTTGGCGGCTGCCCCGTACCTCACAACCCGCGGCGTGCGCGCCTGCTGCCAGCCTCGGCGCGCGGGCCACTGCCGGCCGGACGGTCAGGCCCCAGGCCAGCCCTCCCCTGCCCCTGCGCTGCCCCCTCCTCACTTGAAGGGGTACAGCTGCCAGAACATCTGTGTGCTAATGATCAGCACGTCGGCGCAGCTGGCCATGCGCCGCTCCGAGACCGAGTCTTGGTCGCTCAGGATCCTGCAGGCGGGGGCAGGCAGGCAGGGCAGGCAGGCAGCAGGTCAGCAGGCGGGCCAGCAGCGGCGCGACGCGCGGCACGCGGCCGCCCAGAGCCACACCAAAGCGCCCTGTCTGCCCGCCCCCACCCCGCGCTGCACCCTGCGTGGTCTGTGTCCAGCCATTGCCAGGCGAGCTGCCACATGCTGGCCGCCACATGCCCAGCCCTGGCTGCCACATTTGTCTCGCCAGCTGGCCGCCACACAGCCCAGCAGGCCGGCTGCCCTCCTCGGCAGCCTGCGAGAGCCTCACTTGAGGTTGCCCCATCCCATGGAGCGCAGCTCGGGCGCCACCAGCGTCATCACCGTCTGCCACCAGTTCTGATAGTGGCTCCACTTGATGCGCGGGGCGCTGCCGTCGGGCAGCACCTCACCCGGCAGCATGCCCTCGCACTGCGGCGGCGGGACGAGCAGCAGACAAGCGGCGGCGGCGGGTGGGCGTGAGCGCACGCCTTGCGCCCGCTTGCAAGCCAGGGGGGCGGCCCCGGCTGCGGCAGCCAGCACAGCGGATGCAGCCCGGCCTGCCCCTCGCCCTGCAGGGCGCCACCGCACAACCTCGGAGCAGCCGGCCGCGCGCTGCCGCACCTCTGGCGTCTTGCCCCCCCAGCCGCCAAAGCAGCCGTTCTTGGTGAGGTCCTTGCAATGGCTGACGATGCTGTCCAGGCACTCATTCATCTTGTCAGGGTGGAAAGTCTCCTGCCTGCAGACACACCACGCAGCAGAGCCGCACAGGCGTCGGCCGCGGCCAACCGCAGTGGTAGGTTTGAGCGGCGGTTGCCCACCCAACCGGGCGGCAAAGCGCCCCTGCTGCCGCCGCGCTGCCCCAAGCCTGCAGCTGCCTTTGCTCCCTTCCGACGCTGCTCGCCCCCGGGTCTGAGAAAGCTTGCTCCCGGCTGCACCCGGCTGTCGGGGTGCCGGCCGNCAAACTGTCGCCAGGTGGCCGGGCGCCGGCCAGCTTCCGCCGCCGCGGGAGCCGGCGCAGGCGGCAGGTACGCTCGGGGCACTCACTTGCGGCACACTTGGTCCACCACGATCGCCACCCGCATCTGGCGCAGCTGGTTGGTGGTGGGAGGGAAGGAGGGCGGAGGGCGCGGCGCGCACCACACATCTGCCTCATCCTGCGGGCGGGCATCGGGCGGGCTGGTACGGTCGACCCCGGCTGGCACCCCAGACCCACAGGCGGCAGCAGCGACAGCAGCAGCTTGCATCAGATCCAGTGCCCGGTGCACCGTACGATAAGCGCACACAACGGTGCTGGGAAGAAGACAAGCGCACTGCGCAGGACGTGCAATTGGCGGCGGCGGCGGCATCGACGGCGGCGCACCTGTCGCGGCAGCCTGCCCACGTCCACGTTGAGCGTCAGGCCGGTCACATACTGCTGCGGCTGCGGGGGTGCTGCTGGGCCCCGGGAGTTGCTCCACACCAGGGCCAGCAACACCAAGCAGGCCGCTAGGGCGCCCTGCACAAGCAGCGATGGGCTGACGCGCCCGCCTGCCGCGTCTCGCTTGCCTGAGTACATGCTGCAATCCAGCCGGTCCAGCTGCCGGCCGTGGGGTGCAGGGCAGCACCCGGGCTGGCTAACTGTATGCGCGGGAGTTGGCCCCCGTTGCCTTCGTCTTCAGAAGGCCTGTCTGGGCAGGAACCACCTAGCAGGTCCCAGGTTCGTTGTGCAGCACGCAACGGGGCGAAAGGCGGCCGATCGTGTTTGACGCAACGCGTCTGCGGATTGCCACTTGCAGACCAGCGCAGTCTTGCTGCTCACTAGCTGCTGGCCACTTGCACCCAGAGCCTATGAAACAACGCGGCGGATCGGCAGGGTGGCCGTATGCTCCGCCACATGGGGCACAGCATGGGGCACCGCGTCGCAATCGGCCGCCTTTTCCAGGCCTGGAAATGCCGGTGATTGCCAGGGATGATGCTAGGGCCAACCGAATCCGGATGGAGCTCTTGGAGGCCATTAAGCATTCAGCATGCCAGACATGCCGCCCTACGGCGGCGCAGGGCATGGGCGGCATGCTGCTTGGCGGCCGCCGGGGCACTAGCTGGAAGAGTTAGTGCTGTGCTGCCCTCGAACCTCAGTGTTCCAACATCTGCCCGGCAGTGGTGACAGCTGGGATGACGTGCTGCCGAGGCGGCAAGGCGGTGATACAGCGGGCGGGCAACCGCATGCCCCCGGCGCTTGGGGCTTATCGAGTGCCAAGCTGCTTGACCAGGGCAAAATGCTTAATTGTCACAGGCAGGGGCTTGATGGTGTAGACGCTCGAAATTGCACGTGTCAATCACATGGTAATTGCAACACAGACCCATCATGCAGTCGCGCCCAGGCTCAATAGTACTGCGGCCGCTGGGGCAGCGCCTGCCGGACCATCGGCTGCGGCACGCCTTGCCCCTGCTGCTGCGCCATCGCCTGCTGCTGCGCTATCGCTGGATGGTACATCGGGGCTGGATGCATGCCTTCTGGTGGCCTGTACATGGCTGCCTGCTGCTGCTGCGGCGGCTGCGGCTGCTGCTGCTGCTGCTGCTGCTGCTGCTGCTGC